TTCCCTCCCCCATGCTCCTCTTGCTAATTGAAGCCTCAAGATACTTACAGTCTTCATCCAAGAATTTATACTGTATGTGTTTCTTGAAAAACTCCTGTATCGATCTACAGATCTCCTCATGCTGCGTAGAGATATGACCGTAGTATTGAGTGTAGTCCCTCTGGGATATACCTGCCAACAATTTCAGTTGATTATAAAGACATTTAGGCATGCAAGAAGCCCAACCAGGCAAAACACAGTTATCAGAGACATGCAGGTTACAATCAATATTTCAGAAGACAGGGTTCTCTCAGTTTTCAACCATTACCAGTGACTTACTGTTTGGCTTTATTCTCCTATACTTAAAGCACCTCCATAAGGAATCTTTTCCTTCAACACTTCTGCTCTACATTTCTTGAGCCTCATTTTATACGTACCCGCTTTGACTATTTTTAAGTAAATTTCAGAAGGAACCTTTGCCTGTGTTTGCTTCCAATTCCTGTCTTTTCCTTTTAGTTTTATTCCCTCCAGTTACTCTGGTCAAAAACATTTTCTATTCTGCATATCAGATGTAGGGACCAAAATCTGGAACTACGAAATGAAAGGGAGGCCAGAACTGCACATTAGCAAAGATGATAGATCCTAGCATACCATAAAGATCTAATTTACCTGATTTTTCAAGTGTGGAATAACACTTTTGAATACCATGTGGAATAATACCTGTTTGATAAAGCACTACAGATGAAACCTTAAATCCTAAAATCAACGAGATGTCATTCGGTCTAGTACTTTATTTCTTCCGTTTGCCTCCCCTTGAGGACTGTCTTGCATATCTGACATTAGATAAACTATTCCAGCTACATCACAAGCTCTAAATTTCAGACATTTGTTTGTCTACAAGACAATAGTTTAAGTTGACATCAACAGGATTATACACTTGCATGCATCTTACGTGACAGAAGTTCTCATACAGGATAGATCAACATAAGCCGCTGCAATACCCTGCTGGACAAACGTCAAATCAAGATCTCCCCATGAATACCGAATGAGTAACTCATGCTATTTAGAGGGGGAAAAAAAGCCAGAATCCTCCAAGAAAGACGTATCAGTGATGGCAGTTTGCTATTTTAACCATACACAAAAAGCAGAGATTAATTTTTACTCTAAGACAATGCTGACTTCCTCGAAAGATCACAGAATCACAGAATATTAGGAGTTGGAAAGGACCTCTGAAGATCACCCAGTCCAACCCCTGCCAGAGCAGGATCACCTAGACCAGGTCACACAGGAACACGTCCAGGGAGGTCTTGAACATCTACAGAGAAGGAGACTCCACAGCCTCTCTGGGCAGCCTGGACTGTCACCCTCACAGTAGAGTTTTTCCTTATGTTCAGGTTGAATCTCCTATGCTCCAGCTTGCATCCATTGCCCCTTGTCCTATCATTTGACATCACAGAGAAAAAGGATGTGCTCTTCAAAAAAGCTCGTATAAAGTTTATGATGTCAGTGGAACTTTGAATTATTAATATCATTGAAAACCTTAACTCAGGACTAAAAACAAAAATCAAGAGATGGTGGCATCTCAGAGGATACAGATGTGTAACTGAAAAATCACTCACTACACTGTGCAAGTATCACTCCCTATCTTGACTGACAGGCTTATTAATTTTAAGAGTGTGGGAATATATCGTGAAAAATCTTGGAACTGTCTTCAAAAATGCAGCTGGAGTGCTAGCGAAAAAAAACCAATGATGGTAGATCTACTAGGTTTCAAACCCTAGTAATGAAACATATAGAGTGCTTAATTAGCTAGCGTACAAATGCTTTGAGGTATTTGAAAGTAAGTATCACTAGATACATATTCTAGAATTAATCTACATTCAAATGTTTCAGAGGTTATTACAGTGATGCACATCTCTGGCAGCTGCGGTGTTCCAGCAGAACATAACAGGACAGGATTCAGCCCTTCCCCCTCCAGAAAGCTTTGCGAGTAGCCATTAAGCAATACCGGCTTAACGGAGAATCTCTGCTATTAGCAAGATAAACTCTGTTAGAGAGGACTGTAATAAACCCTGCAATTGGCATGAATGGAGAGAGAATGGGAAGAGAAGCATAAAAGCACCAGAAGGAACAGCTAAATAAGAGGGCTATGAGAATGGTATGTGTTGACAGCACCTAGATTAGCACATCTCAGAACATCTATGTGCAGCTCCATGGGACACCCAGATCAGCAAACAAAGAACAGGGAGTACATTTTCAATGATTCACAGAGGTGGGACAGGATGGATCGACGAGTTGCTGACAGCTCCTAGCAGGTACAAAAAGGCACATCCAAAACAAACACATAGTCACTACGCTGAGAAGTCAGGATAAACAATGAGGACTAAATAGCTAATATCCCTTCACCTCCATATCATCACAAGGAATCCTGGACAAACCACTTGCATACGTGCATCCTGGTGCTTGCCGATGTGTAGGTATGAGACAGACAAAATGGGCAAACTTTGCTTTAAAATAAACCTAAAAAAAGAAAAATCACCTTTCTTCCAGTAAAGTCTGGATTAGAGCTTTGCCACATCACTGCTATAACATTTCCTTTTCAGAGGAGTTTAGGCAGAATGATTCAATCTTGTTAAGGACAAATGTGCACCAATCCTGTGCTATTTGCGTTTCTGTTCATCTTTAAAGATTCCATGGTAGACCACACCAAAACCAAATTTAAACTCAAGAACGGTATTTAGCCTGAAATTAAACCTCTCAATTCAAGCATTTGTATGTGCACTAGATGTCCAGGTTTCTGTTATAGTCAGCAGAAAATAGTCAATACATATAGAGGAGTATAATCCAGCTGAATTTACCCTAGAGCTGCCTAAAATACCTGCTGTAGCACAGTCCTCCAGCTGTCACAGGTTTCCTGATGCACCCACCAACTCCTTACATGTTGCAGAGCTGTTCAGCGCCACTTAAAAAACATTGTACATTTAGGTTTTTGAACCAGAGTAACAGATCAACAGGCTTTCTGACTAAGCTACACTGAATACAATACGGGCTCAGGCACCTTGTACACTTGTGGACATGTTCTGACCTCCCCACCTTTCTGCATGTAATATCTGCATGTGGTCACATTTTATCAGCATGATACCAGACTGCCTCTGTATTCATTCTGCAAGCTGGCTACGATGCAATTTGTTCCTCAATGTAAGAGAGTCGTTTACAGAACAGCCTTGGGTGCAGTTTCTGAATTAGCAATTAGAATAAGAATATTCCCACTGTAATACTGAGGATGCTGTGTCATCAGGGTTTCAAATACAGTGGAAAGAGAAATGCGGCACGCTGCATTTTAAATTACAGAAAGAAGAAGGAAACATTAATTCCAGAAATGAGGTGTGATAAGAAAGAACCGTCTTCAGATTTAGCTCCAATTCAAGGAATCAGAGAAACTCCTCAGAACTTCACCTAATAATTTCATCTTTAAGAACATCCTTACCTATAAGCTTGTTTTCCTTGACAAAGCACCTGAATTCAGCACCAGGGATTAGTTCACACCATTTGCGAAGAACAAGCTATAGAGCGGGGAAAAATAAGACACAGTATTGCTTCAGAAAGGTAATAAGTAACTTTTTGTCAATGGGTACACCTTCTAGGTGGACAGCTTTGCTGTAATAAAAACATGACCTCTGAAGTTACTCTTGATACAAAAAAACAAAATCATCTTAACCTGCAGTTCACATAATCACCTTAGCAAATACTTAAAAATCAATTAGACTTAATATTAATTTCATAGAATCACAGAATGCTTTCAGTTGGAAAGTACCTTTAAAGACCATCCAGTCCAAACTAGTTTAAAGTGGAAAGGTTCAGACTGGACATAAGAAGAAACTTTTTTACCATGAGGACTGCCCAGCACTGGAACAGCTCCCTCAGAGAAGTTGCACAGCCTCCATCCACTGAGGTTGTCAGACCGTATTTGGTAGAATGCCAACCAACCCAATTTGATCTCATGAGAAAGGACCAGAGACCTTCTGAGGTCCTTTCCCACCTTAAACATCTTATGTTCTTTCACTTTGTACAGCATGGGGCGCAGTCTAGTTGGAGGCCTGTAA